AGATGCATCAGCTGTTTCATTTTCTTTCTTGATTAATAGTCCTAGTCTTAATTTAATTTCTACTTCTCTTTGCTAAGCTAAATAGGTAAAAAGATAAAACTGGATGTTAGTGAATGAGAAATAATATCTGTGAAACAGAGAGTCAAAAATCTATATCACATATAAGCAGCTAAAGATTGGGGCTGTATTAAACTGAATTTACAGATTGAGTTGCAATGCTAAAAAAGAAATCATTTAGCAGAAGATAATACTTTCTCACCAATTCCCAAGAAAGTAGGATTCTTGCCACAAAGGAAATAAAACCAATATGTTCAGTTTCAGTATAAAAATTATGTTACACCCTGTCACTGATAACTTGAGCTGGAAATAGGTGTTATGCCAATGATAGATAATGACTGGTATAGTAGAAAGAATCCATGTGTCTTGAAATAGAAGTGCAATCATAATAACCCTTACTCCATTATCACGGAGAAGCAGCATCTCTGGGAAGTCAATGGTGATAATTTACTGCAAGATGCTAGGGTGTCAAAAACCAGCAGTGCCTGTTTTGTCGCTTGAAAGTCTAAATGTTTCCTTTTTGCTTTTGTATATATTAAGCAAGCCACGTGATCAGAGGTCATTGGTACCCCAAAATTCACTATGTAGTGTGTGCATGTGTATTGAAACCTGTACAGATAGTAAACACTGAAAACATGGGTGATTTTTATCAGTTGTTACTGAGAGATTTAATCTATTGTTGGCAGTCATCTGATTTGCAGCACATATTAAGGAGTTTCAAACTCGCGGATTACCAGTAGACTAAAAATAATGGGAAAACGCAAACCAATCGGCTGAATGATGTCAAATGGTAGTCTCAGGTAACTTGGACACATCCAGGTACCCTCTACAATCTTGTCTGCGACTCAGCCCATTGAAAAAAGAACACACAATGAAATCCCTCTTCTTCATAGAAAGTATATGATCCATTTCCTCACATTTCTAAACAGTTATAAAATCTCTGTGTTCAATCATGAGTGCTGAGTGTTCACAAACAGGGGGATTAGAGGGAATTCTACATAAAGATCAATGGGCGTATGGGCAACTACTGAACTGACAGTTTCTCACACAGCAAATTCTATTTCAAATCTGTGAAATGTTATTGAGTTCCTAGTTTTGTGTTTCCTATGTACATGCCACGTGCTGCAAATTGGTGATAAAACATAGATAAAGAGGCTTTTCAAGGCCACAAGTACATTAATATCTGTAGTATCATTATCCTTTGTAAGTCTGACCCATTACTGTGTTATGGTTGGTGCTTTTAACAAGTGATGAGAAAAATTACTTTTCAAGGTTACAGATCACTCAGTGTCCTTTGACACCCAGAGATAATGTAGGAAAACAGTCATATCACTGATGGTTATTTTGTTGATCAAAGCAATAAAGGTAATTGAAATATATTTCCTGTACATGTGAATTTAACATACTTAATTTACAATACCATATTATTTTCCTTCTCAGAAATATGTAATTATGGGGAGAGTAAAAGCTTTGAACAGATGCTAATGGGATGATTTAGTAAAGATTGAGGAAAGTGGAAAGACAGTGTTGGACCCACAGGTACACTCCACTGGTATTGTGATCTTAAGCTATTAATGTTGGTGTAAATGATCTGGTTCCTGGGTAGGCGGCTTCTACACTGGAGGATCTCCATAGTTTACCTGGCTTGTAGTGAATTGTAAGAAGAGTTGAAATTGAGGCACCACGCCACTGTTAAGAGGTACAGATACAACTTTATTCCATTAAAGGTCAGGAGTATTATTTGAGAATTATCCAACGAGTTTTGGGGTCCAAGTGCCCCCTTCATTAAGGATAGAAAGAACATTAGAAGATTTTTTTTTCAATCTGACATCAATACCATCTCCCCTCAAAGGAGTCATAATTTGGGTGCTGAAAAACAAAAAACAAAATAAAAACAAACAAAAATAGAAAAATAAAATAATAATTATAATCATGATTATTATTAAAATGGTATATTATGATTCATATGTTAGCCCAGTGGTGGGCAACCTTTTTTTTCAACTGAGCCAAATCTCGCCAAAACCACGATTGAAATTTATTTTGAGAGCCACATTTTTAAAACTGAAAATACATCCCCCATATAGTAATTCATCCCCCATAGTAATTCATCCCCCATATAGTAATTCATCCCCCATATAGTAATTCATCCCCCATAGTAATTCATCCCCCATATAGTAATTCATCCCCCATAGTAATTCATCCCCCATATAGTAATTCATCCCCCATATAGTAATTCATCCCCCATAGTAATTCATCCCCCATATAGTAATTCATCCCCCATAGTAATTCATCCCCCATATAGTAATTCATCCCCCATAGTAATTCATCCCCCATATAGTAATTCATCCCCCATATAGTAATTCATCCCCCCCATAGTAATTCATCCCCCATATAGTAATTCATCCCCCATAGTAATTCATCCCCCATATAGTAATTCATCCCCCATAGTAATTCATCCCCCATATAGTAATTCATTCCCCCATATAGTAATTCATTCCCCCATAGTAATTCATCCCCCATAGTAATTCATCCCCCATATCCCCCATGTAATTCATCCCCCCATAGTAATTCACCCCCCATAGTAATTCATCCCCCCATAGTAATTAATCCCCCATATAGTAATTCATCCCCCATAGTAATTCATCCCCCATAGTAATTCATCCCCCATATAGTAATTCATCCCCCATAGTAATTCATCCCCCCTATAGTAATTCATCCCCCCTATAGTAATTCATTCCCCATATTGTGTCAATTCACTTACCTTTGCTCTGCGCGTTCCTTTCGCCGTGTTCCCGCGACGTTCCGGACTTCAGGGCGGACTGTGAGAGGAGAGGAGTTTGTCACGCTGCCCCGCCTACATCCTGACAGCCAATGTTTGCCACGCTCCGCGGGCCGGATTAAAAGGTCCGCCGGGCCGTAGTTTGCCCATTGCTGGGCTAGCTGCAGAGTCCTGACTTTTGGGGCGGCCGCCCGAGAGGAGGGAGGGGAGCGGGCGCCCGGCACACAGAAGAGCCGCATTAGAGTGTCTAAAGAGCCGCATGTGGCTCGCGAGCCGCTTGCCGACCACTGTGTTAGCCTAATATAAAAGAGAAGAAAAAAAATTGAGCAAAAGCTGTCAAAGCGTGTATGTGTATAAATTGAACCATACACTATACAAGGTCCAGTTCACTTCTTGTCTGTTCACTTTATTGCCAGTCAAGGTAATTCACAGTTTTATTCCACTCAGATCTGTCTCATCAATGTACTGTATGCCAGCAACATAGGTTGACCACGGGCACACTATTTTACTTACCGTACCACATACATGAAAGATCTGCTACAGATGACATATTTCCTCAGATGTACTCTATAGCCTTTGGGCATACAGCCTTGTGATCACTTTTTAAGTTGCACACACAATACAGTCAGATTGCAAAGTAGTTATTGGATCCACTACCAATGGAATGTGCCACTTAAAGTTTACCCCTATTGCATGAGATAAAAGACTTGGCAGTTTGCTCAGCGATTGGACAACTTGATTGCACAATGTATGGCTCTTATCAGCTCTTTGGATATATTTTTATCATTTCAATATTTTAATCAGAATGTATCATTTTATAATCATTCTTAGCAGTATTCTCACCAATATCATTTTATGCTTGTACAATCAGATTGTATAATATATGGTTCAATTTATACATTTATCATTTCACCCATGTTTCCGCACATCTGTGCCTTTTAGATCAATGTATTACCAAGAATGTATATAGTGATTATGACTATGTCAGTAGTACTGATATTATTATTATTTTTAATATACTATCTTTTTTAAAAAATAATGTATCTATTATTTATTTACTTTTTGAACTTTCTCTTTTTTCTTAAACATCTCACAATTGTACAATCAGATTGTATAATGTTTGGTTCAATTTATACACATACACATTTTGAGAGTTTTTACTCAATTTTTTTTTTCTCTTTCATATTAGGCTAACATAACTATAACATGCCATTTTAATAATAATGATAATAATAATAATTATTATTTATTTTATGTTTTTTTTGTTTTGTTTTGTTTTGTTTTTCAGTACCCATATTCTCTTTTTTGTTTAGCACTTTTGTTCTCATTTTTATATACTTTTTTTTTTTTACTCTCATTAGGATTGACTGGTTTTAATTATGACCCATTAAAGGGAACATTGTATTAATGTCAGATTGAGATTAAAATCTTATTAAGTTCTTTCTAGCCCTGATGAAGGGGGCACTTGGACCCCCAAAATGTGTTGGCTGATTCTCAAATTATACCCTTTACTTTTAATGGAATAAAGTTGTATCTGTACATCTTAACAGTGGTGTGGCGCTTCAATTTCAACTCTTCTTACAATACAATATGGTTTTATAAAGATGTCATCTTTATAATGGCCAGTGGAACCTGTGTTCTCTTCAAAATTTAGGTTAATGGGATATCTTTTTTACATGCCCTTAATGGCTTGACCAAGCAGGTGGCTAGGAGGTGGTAAAAGCAGGCAAGCCCCTCGACCACCTACCTAAACAAGGACATGCAGGCACTCAGGGATGTAAACCTGCCTGTGTTATGTTCGGTGGGCAGTACCACAACCCAGTATGACCCATTCAAGTTAATGAAGCCGCAGTGCAACCACCCTATAACCACATGCAGTGCATGCAGTGGCAGAAGGAAGCTTTAGCCTTTACAAAACAGGCAGTGATGAGGCGACATATTGCTTCCCAGTTGCCTGTCAATCGCCCTCTGAAAAGTGATTTACCATGCATGTCTGAATGAGCCCAAAGCCTGAGATATTGCTTAACCTTCATGGCGATATTCCCGAGTGTAGCTTGGGGTAAAGTTTCAGCACCACAAGCGGTAACCCCGAGCTACACTCGGGCTTACCATGCGACGCTGCTCCGCGATCCCTCGATCACTTTCCTTGTCCTGCACTCCCGCGATGTCCCTCCTGGAGTGTCCCCGGCAATGTAATCCGATGGATGCAGGCATCTATCATCTGGGTTCCATCCCCTGCGACGTCGGGACATACGGGGGACGGAACGGCGGGAAATTTGAAAATGACAAAAAGTGACATTCACTAAAATCACATAGTAAAACATTACTGTATCAAACCATTTCACATACATTTTGTCCCTAGTGCTTTGTCCTGTGCCCTGCCTGCATTTTTACTGTTCTTTCTGCCTGGAAACTGAGAAATGTCCATGGCATCCAAAAAGCGTCCCTTTAGGTCAAAAGCGGTTTTAGACCAGCTAGAGAACAGCGATAGTAAATTAGAACCACTTGCAGAATTGAGTGATAATGATTCGTGGGGAAATTCGTCATCAGACACTGAAAACGATATTGCGACTTTGCTCAGTGATGTGCGAATTTGGTGCTATATTTCAAATTTCAGTGTTTTTGGTTTGATTATATTATTGAATTAAATGTATTATTATTATATTATTATTTTTTTTTATGATTATTTATTAAATTATAATTTATGATTTCGTGTTTCAAGTTTTATCATACCCGGGATGTTTACTAGACTCTTGTTTGGACAGATTTCAGTGAGTTATTCCTAAAAATTACAGGCCTACAATAAAAAAAATACATATTTCCATGCAAAAAAATGTACCGCTTTGAGCACAGAAATATGGACATAATCAGACCGCTAGGGAGGTTAAAGTTTAAGTATAGGCAGTTATAAAATACTCCCATTAGTACCTTAGGGGGTCACAGGAAGCTTGTACATTGACAGGCTGATATTAGCAATTCAGATTTGAAGAAAAAGGGCAGCACTGTGAGCCAGTTAGGGTTTACTGCATTATAAAATGATGGGAATCCAACAAATGGAACTTGCTGAACTGTACCTTTACTATTCAATCACAGCTGGCTGAACAGAATTTCAAATTATTTTTGCAGGACACATTTTTTAAATATGTGTGCTTAGCAGTTGGCCTACACTTATACCTAACTTATACCCAACTGATGTCCAACTCAAGCATGACAAAAAAAATCTGAAAAAGTTAAATTGTAAAAAGCAGCACATACCTGTTTCCAGTACTGTCCCCTGCAGAAAGACTTCCCTGAGAGTAGATAGATCATCAGAAGTCATTCAACTCATACATACAGGTCATCAAGAACCCACCTCCTGGAAGTGCATCATCAATCTTCTCTGGACTCACTGGAGAATGCTGCAGAGAGTGGCTCTGATGTTATCACGTAGCATTCAGTACTCACCAACCAGTCATGGTAGAACAGGAGGAACAGGAACTATGACACCTGAAAAAAAAGTTATGCATGAGGGGCGTTCAAGTCAAACCAAGATTTTTGAATACATATATTAAAAGAACAAATTTCAAGGAGTGGAAACTGCATTTATTTTTCAACATACTCCCCTGCTACAGGTTTACACTTATCCCAGCATTTAACTAATGCCTGGAAAGCTTTGGCATTAAAAAATTTGTTAGTACTCCTGAACCAACCCAAGACTGCTTATTTCACTTTGTCATCATTGTGTTCACCATTCCCACAGAAAGAGTAATCTCTTGTGCAATTTCATGACTGAATATGCATCGATTATACAGGATCAAGAACTCCATATGCTGAATTTTCACAGGAATGACTGCTGTGGTCTGGGAACCACCACGGTCGGGATCAACATATATCCATATTTGAAATATTTACACCATTTAAATGTCTTACTGTGGCTGAGAGTCTCATCATTGCACTGTGCCTGAAGTCTTGTGAAGATATCTTCAGATTTTACGCCTTTCATTCACAAGAAACTTCATCACCACACACTGTTCTATGCACGCACTAACACTGTTGTCTACCATCTTGATTACCTGTAAATTAAAAGTCCTGTTTTGATTTGAATGCCACTCATATATAAATTTAAACAAAATAAGGTTGCAGTAGAATTCAATGGGTGGTGAGCAGTAGTAGACACCAGCGAAAAGAGAAGGAAACAACCAAGTTGTCAAATGATGCAATTCATTTTGTTGGTTTTACCTGCTGGATTACATCTCTGTGCTTCAGTATCTGAACTAGATTTTGTAGTGATGATGATTTTGCCTTTGCCAATATTTGTCAAAGTTGTCCTTTAATTCACCATGCAGCACTGCAACATCTTTTAAAAAAATAGCATGGCTTTGTTTAAATACTTAGCCATGTCACTCATACAGCTTTATCAGCAAAATTACTGCTCACCATGTCAGGGATTTTGTTGATTAGCAAAGTAATGTGATCATCTTGGCTTTGTTGCTGATATTTATGGTACCACTAAAACGGAGATCACATGACTTTGTTATTAAACAAAATTATGTGATCCTCACATCATTGCTAACATGGTTACCAGATGACTTATTTTAAATAATTTCCCTCCAGAAGTATTTATCTGCTTCCTGACCAGGCCATTTTTTTGCTATTTGGCACTGCGTTACTTAACTGGCACTTAGCTTACATTACCCCAAAAAAATTTGTATCATTTTTTTTCACACAAATAGAGCTTTCTTTTGATGGTATTTGATCACCTCTGGGTTTTTTATTTTCTGCGATATAAATTTAAAAAAATATGTTTTACTTTCTGCTATAAAACATATCCAATAAAAATTTAAAAAAAACTCTTCAAAAATTTTGGCCAAAATGTATTCTTTTACATGTCTTTGGTAAAAAAAATTCCAATACGTGTATATATTGATGGGTTTGTGTGAAATTTATAGTGTCTACAAACTATGGGATATATACTGGAATTTTTTTTTTATACTACTAATGGTGATGATCAGCGACTCACAGCATAATTGGACGGTGGGCAATCTGACACTGACACTAGGGGGAACTGACTAACTGCCACTAACATCACCAGTGACATTAATACAGTGATCAGTGCTAATAAAATGCACTGTCACTATACTAATGACACTGATTGGAGGGGCTTAACATCTAGGATGATCAAGGGGCTAACTGTGTGCCTAAATATGTGTAATGTGTGCAATATGTGGTTCTATTATTAAGGATCTTGTTGTTTTTATTACCTGCTTAGCAGGGAATGAATAAACAAAAAGATCCCCAGTAAGTGAACACAGCTCTGTATTGTTTACAATTACAGAGATGTATTTGGTGAACAACAGAGCCTATCATTAGGTCCCGGTGGTCAATCATTGGCTGGGACCCAGTGATCGGCATGGGCTGTAACAAATCACAGCACAGCAAGGCTGGCAAGCGAGCGTACGCCCCCTGCCCAGGCACACAGATTACATACTAAGTATGTAATCCAGTGTAGAGCTGCTCTGCCACCATATATCTATGTTATGTGGTCAGCAAATGGTTAAGAACAAAAGGGTATGATTTTCATTAGGGTTAGGAATAGCTTTAGAGTTAAGGCTAGCAATACGATTACGTGTGAGGTTAACAACAGGGTTACTTTTAGTGTTCAAGTTAGTCTTTTTGGCATAAGAATGAGTCCCCTCAAGCTCATTCTAAACCAGGTGCACTATTAATTTCAAGTTCTCCATGGACTCCAACACATTCGGGTTGATTTACTAAAACTGGAAAGTGCAAAATCTGGTGCAGCTCTGCATAGAAACCAATCAACATCCATTTTTCTTTTTGTCAAAGCTTCATTGAACAAGCTGAAGTTAAAAGCTGATTGGTTACCATCCACGCCTGCACCAGATTTTGCACTCTCTGATTTTAGTAAATCAACCCCATTGTGGCAAAAAGGCAAAAATAAGGTGAGAGATTGGGTTTTTTTGCTAAACATTTTGGGAAATATAGTGTTTATCTGTGCTATATGTCCAGTGAAGTGAAATGTTGCAGGTGAACTCTAGAAACTGACCACAGTAGTGTTACAGATATAGTTACCATAAAAATAAATATATTATTAAAAATGCAAATTAACATGAGACAATACTTTTTAATCAGAATTAAAACTTCAGTATTTAATACTGTAATGCAGCCAGGAAGTTTGAGCAATGTTGATTGGAAAATTGTGCAAGGGTATCTTGGGCTGCTGAAGGCGCAGGTCATTGCGCTGTGTGTCAGAGCAGAATTCCAACTCCCCAGCATGCTGCCATCACAGGTTATTTTATCTTTTCTGCAGCACTTAGTATGTAAAAAAACACAGAGAGCATATTTATTACTGTATATGCAGCCAGACTGCATTACAGTAATAAATACCAAGCATTTAATTGGACTTTATAGTACAAAGCATGCCAAAAAGTGTTACAGTTCAATATTGAAGTCTGCAAAGAATCACTAAAGCTATTGAACTTTAGATTTATGCACTCCACTACAACATATATCACTGCTTTGTTTTGTATGTCTGTCTGAACTATCCATCTGCTGGTCAGATCTGATAGTGTTTAAGAGAAAGTACAAATACGTCATACCCTGGCAAACAACATGCTCTCTGTGCTTCTTCAAAGCAAATGTATGGAAAAAACAAAAGGGTCCTATGAAAGCATCTATACGAACATCAGTTTTGACGTAACTCAGGCATTGGACATCATATAGTTGGAAGGAGAGAAAGGATGCTTAACATTCATCAGCAACTGTGGGGTGCCCAGAAAATGCTGGATGTTAAGTCCAACTGAAGGCTTGCATATCTCTACATAATCCTGTACTCACGCATGTTAGGATGTATGACTGATTTTTGTTAGAAATACAATAATAATTCAAAATAATCAGTTGGTAAAACTGCAGCTTCTGCCCCCTCCAGTGCTCTATGCTGGTAGTTGAGCACCACCCATGTGTCATCACACAGATTTGTAAAGTAGAAGAAAGGAAGCCTATCAGATCAATGCCGTTAATGGGAGCTGATTATTGAGAACACTGGGTTTTTGGTGCCTATAAGACCACACAGTGATGATAATGATGATGACAATGTATCTATCTCTTAAATTATACAATTGTTCACCCCTCCAGGACCTGACATATGACCAGAAGTCAAATTCACAGCATTAGTTAGAAGATCTCTGCCAAAAGGGTTTGGGGAACTGTTGTTTAGAGGGTAGATGAGGATCAGTAAGCCTTGCTCTGGTATTTTAAAACATAACAAGCAGAATAACTGTAGATTTCAGGATATAGGTATCTTTTTCACATTGCTTTTATTACTATTTTTGACAGTCTAACAAAAGTCAAGTTCTCCAAAAGCATATGTCTCCTGATAACAAAGCCTATCCTGTGCCAGGGTAGAGTTACACACTATATCTGTAGAGTAGATTATTATCATGTGTTACACAATCCTCATTAGTGGAGATGAGCGAATCTGGTGTTCACAGTTTCCTTTATTTTGCTTGCAGTTTGCAA